TGGAAGGGTCCCTGTCAGACTGGGAAGAGGTCATGATTCCGGTCCTGTTTTATGTGTTCATTAATGACTTTGTCACAGAGTACTTGTCTGTTAATGGAATTTGCTATTGACACGGTCTTAGGACAGAGAGGATTCCTACAAGAAAATAAAGGGATGACTGTGATAAATCAATAATAGAGATAGGATTGGATTTTACACTACAAAGTGCTAGCTCATGTATTTAGGGAAGAATAACAGTACTTTCTTACAATATGACAGGAGTACATCTGTTGAAAATTACAGATAAAAAAGTAGCCAGAAGCATCTGTAATAGTCATGGAGAAAAAAAGTCACTTAGGACACCAAAATACATAAAATATCTCACTTCCAGCAGAGATTTACATAGGGATTAGCTCCACAGGGGTACATTCCACTATATACACCCTTCTGCAAGGCACTGGTGAGATCTCTCCTGCAGATTAATTGTTGTAATGGTCACACATAATCAAGTATTATGAACTCACATTACAATACTTGCAGAAAACAGAATTACCATTGTATTAATGATGTTTTAGAACATATTAGAAATATGTTACTTTACTCAGCAAAATGAATTGCTTTCTAGTAGTGTCTCAAGGGTACAAAGACCAGGGAGAGAAGGAAATACTTAAACTAAAGAACAGTGCTGTCATTATACTAAATGCATATGTAAAACAGAAAGAAGTTCCTAACAGAGAAATGATGATTTAGATCCTCTAGTCAGAGTAGTAGGGCCCAAATTCCTGCCCCTTCCTCTCCAATACCAGTGTTTGATAATGATGGGCAAAGAGCTGTAATGTTTTAGAAGCTGTCTAAGATGCAAAGAATAAAGATTTAGTCATGAAATACCAAACATTATTTCATTAAAGTTCTCTTGCAACAGCTGCCTTGACAGTCCACAACTGGTTTTGTCGAAACTACCCACATGGGAAGTCTTAGAGAGGTCTAAGAAAGGTGCCCTTCCCAGTGCTGCAATCTTTTGTATTTTCATGGTGAGAATGGAGACAGGAGTAATATTAATATGCCAATAACTTGATTGCAGCACTCAATTACATCCACAAATGATGTAAATGGACACATTTCCAACTGATGAAGCTACACTCACTCAAATGAGCTGGTAACCCCTGTTAGCTGTTAGCAGCGTAATGCCCAGGATATGGAGCATACTGGGTGTGATTCTGCCCAGTAAAGGGCCTTGCTGGAAACACACAACCCATCATGCCCTGCAGAAGTTGCACCTCACTGGAAATTTAGGCATGAGCTATGAGCCATCTTCAAGCTTGTAACAGGACATAGTTTTTTAATCTAGCCAACTTGGCTCCTCTTCCCTAAGAAAAGAAGCAGAAAGGATCTCTCTGTCCAAGGCCTGACCCCTCTAGACATCCTGTCTTTCTTAAAATAACTCTTGTTGTACCCCAATTAAGGAAGTTTATCTTCTCCAGATCCTGTTACATGTGGTGCTGGTGTAACCCAATGCACAAAAATGTATTATCCTTTATTATTGTGTATGCACCTGAATGTGAGTGTGTGTGCACGCCTTTTTAACAATTTTCTTTTATTTACAAGGTGTTTACTGGTAATTATTTACATGAATATATACCAGTACCTGAATTCAGCTAAATAAGCAGCCTTAAAAAAACAATGGAAAGGCAAAAATGCCATACACTCAAATGTCTTTTGGCTCAAAGGATTTACTGAATGCCCCACTTCTGGTCAACAAGCATATAAATCTACCTACTAAAAACAACTTCAATTCTAAAGAGGAGCTATTAGGGAGCAGCAGAAACAAATACCTTTTCCCATATTGCTCAATGTTTCCCGAGGTCAGATGTAACATTATCAATGGGACTGCAAAGGTACATGCTTGCTATGTGGGTGTGTTGGAAGGAAAAGGGAAATTATTATGGTGTGGAAATTGCACTATTTTGAGTTGTTCTGAGGTATGACTGGCATGACTACTCAATACATTCTTCTTACTTTTTTATTTTGATAGAAAAAGTTTAATCAATTTAATCTTCATTGAGAATGTCAAGTAACATTCTGACCTAGAAGAAGTAAATGAAATACCTTTAATTTTGAATATTATAATGAGGTAAATTAAGAAGTAAATTAAATATAAAGAAGTATATAAAGAAGTAAATTAAATGCCTTTAATCTTGAATATTATAATGAGGTAACAGGTACCTAGCTGATTTTAGAGGTTAGGATGAATAGTTATTATTCAGATTAATGTTGGTAACATGTACAGGATAAGGCTGAGTTGGAAGGGGCTCTGAACAACCTGGTGTGGCGGAAGAGGTCCCTGCCCATGGCAGGAATTGGAACTACATGACATTTAAGAACCTTTCCAAACCAAACCATTCTAGGGTTCTAAGATAGATGGCATCAAGATCAAGGACTTTGGGAAAAATTAATTTATGTAACCCAATGGCACAGATTTACTGGATGATTCTTGAAGTCTTAAAAAGTCTGTGTTAGTGTTGCAGATTATAGAACTGTAATGTGTAGGGAGATGTCTTATGGAAATACTGCAAGACAGTTTACAAAATACTGGGTACTTGTTTCTTAACAGAAAATTTGTTCTGGAAGTAGAAAACAAAATACAATTATAAGCTCTTTGAAATGGAATTCTTTTAAGCCTTTTCAACTGCTTTTTGTTTTCTCTTCCTTTCTCCTTCTTTCATATTTTATTAACTTGAATAGAGTGGAAGAGAAGATATAAAGCAATTTCATTTATTATACTTTTTTGCACGACCAAAGGATAGTATTTTATACTGGGAAATGTCATATTTACTAAAATTATTCACTCTAAAGTATTTATTTTCCTCAATTCTTAATGGTGATTACTTTTGGGGTGATAGTCTGAATACTGTTTACTCCATCTACCACCGTGTAACAGCACTGAATCTGTTTCACAGTTCCTGGCTAAGAAGTCAGTTAATAAAAACTTGTAGGTGCCTCAAATTTTCACTCCTTTCAAACAGCAAATTTAGCCCTCAGAGTCTTCCCAAGCAAACAGAAGGCATATCTATTCCAACGGAAGTATCAGCCCAATGGGTTTGAGAATGCTTTTCATGAGGATGGCAGCGTTGGCCACGTACGGTGACGGCAGGGGGACCAAACCTCCCTGGCGGAGCAGCGATGCTGCTGCGTGCTGGTAACTCCCTCTCTGCTACCACTCACTGCTGAGCTGCCAGAGAACAGCAGAAGAATTCTCCTCAGTTTATCCCCTATACATCACTTGCTTATTTAGCCTAAAGCACCCTTCCTTCCCATCTGTGAGGCTGCATATGTCTAAGGTCAGCTAAGGGAATTCTGTTCCTTATTAATGAAAGCTGTGTTAAAATAAACCCACCATGTGTGAAAAAAAAAGGAGAGTTAAGAAAGGCTATAAAATCTCAAAATGAATATTCATCCTATTTTTCACCCTCAATTTAAAAAAAAATCATTTTGTAAAGAAAGCATTTTCCTCCTGGGATTTTGTTGCTTCCATCATAAAGCCCTAATTAAGATTGCACTTTGCTATATAGGTGAAAAGCTGTATCTTCAAATGACGCAGATTACAGAGCAACTCAGCACCCTTCAGATTTAATTCTGACAGGCAGGAGCAGATGTATGCCATGAAATGCAACCTTGGAAAGATGACCCCACATGACTATTAATTTACATTTGATATTTGTAAGATAAAGTAAGGGTTAATTAAGGAACATCCAGAAGGGGCACAGGATGTTCAGTGAAAGGTGGAGCAAGGAATATGTGTTGACCCAGAAATAGGCCAGCTGGTTTATGTTATTATTTTATTTTTCCCTGAGAACTTCAAGTGATTGTAAAGCTCTACAGGGAAATGTGCTCTGTGATGACCTGAGTATTATGTCAAATGCCTTAGAGGCTGAGGCACTGGTTTACCATATACTGCTGTGAGGGCATTGGAAGCTAGGATGGTGCCTTGTAGACAGAGTACAAGGCAGACACGCTTTGCAGTATTGTGTTATGAAGCTTTGAAAAATATGTTTTTCACCACAGGCAAGATTGAAAAAATGGACAGGACCCAATAAAGTCTTTATTTAAACTTCTTCCATTCATCTCCTACCATTTTCTCTCTTCTAGCCATAATCTCATTTGATTTCTCTGTACCAGAGTAAAGTAGAATGAGTGTTCCTGCTTTTGCTGGTATAAGTTGTCTCTCATACATAATATCTGCTCTTTAATTTTGCTGTTAGCAGTAATAACATGGGCAGATGAGCTACTGCATCATCAGACAAGAGCTCCCATTTGGGAAGGGTTTACTTTTCTTTGATTCCATAGCTCTTTCCCCACCCTCCATCAGGAATTATTAAGCCAGTAGGAATGTAAAAAATTAGTAAACCCTGATGCAGAGAGAAATTTCTGCTTGCAATATTTTGTGGCTGTGTGGTTTTATTTTGCTCTGTTAAGAATCCAAAATAACTGCACCTTTTCAGGAAGTGGAAAAGACTGTTCTCATTAGCCAGGGAGCTGGATGGCTCTTTTACTAAGAACAAGCCTTGGATCTTCTAGGCTGTGGTTTCCTCCTTCCTGATAAATACCTCCTTCCCTTTCTCATCTGTTCTCAAGTGTTGCAGCCCTCCACATTGCACCATCTGGGCTGCACATGCTGATTTGTGTTGCTGGAAGTAAGAGAGATTTGTGCTGTTGTGGGGAGAACTACATTTTATAGACCTTTTGGTCATCTCTCAGGTGACATCTCTGCTCCTCTGTTCCGCATCTGGTGGAAGTTCATCATCTGTCCAGGAAGGGAGACTCATTGGTTGGTTTTGTAGTGACTTTCTAGCCGTGATATTGAACAGGGACAACACTGCTTCACACTTAGAAATTTTTGAAGGTGCTAGAAGTGGCTCAGACCCACCTGAACCAGCCTGAAAGTGAAGCTTATTATTACTCTTCCTCTCATTTAAATCAACATTTTTTTGACACAAGCTTATTAAGAAAGGCAGACCTCTTACCTCAGCCTCTGGGCCAGAAGGAACATCCTGTTCTGTTGCCTTTCTTCCTTTCTTCCCCTTTCTCCTCCCATGGGATCATTGGTTGCCACTGTATTCATTCCCAGACTGGCCACAGATTCACGTGGCTTGGTCACTCAAATGTGCCTCTAGAGATTAACAAAAGGCAGTGATGTTTCTGAGGTAGAGAGTATATTTTTTCTTTTCCTGTCCCCTTGATCTCCCTTTGTCACACTGTTGATTTTACACTGCCAAAATGTTGTGCCAAAACTAAATTCAAGTATTTATGTGGATGTTTCCAGCATCTCCATGTTGCTCAGATTCAGGTAGCGAGGCGGGTTGATGGGCACCCTGAGTATCCAGGCACAAGATACTCCCAAGAATTTGGGGAAGCTGGAACATTAGCACATCTTCAGTTCCCATGTTATCTAGATTTTCTTCCTCTCTGGCACTCAGTTGGCAATAGCATACAGCCCTCTTATGCTGAGTACCAAAGGAAAAACACTGCTTTGTCACTAGACTGACCAACTTTTCCCTGTGTCAATGTCCTCCACAGCAAACAGGGCTTAGTACTGAAACACTGTGCATCTCCAACAACTCATTTATCAAACATTTGATGCATATTGGAATTTTCCAGTTCTTTGGTACTTCCACATTTGCTGTTATAAAGGAACTAACTGGGAAACTTCACTGCCATGAAAATCAGTCATGTGATGCTTCCCTATTAGCTTTATATAGGCCCAAAATTTTCCAGCATTCTTTTGTCATCCTTAATTCATGAATGAAAAACACCTGTGTTATGAAGTGATTCTGTTCAGTCAAGTTCCTTAATGACAGATCTATAAGCAGTTTGCATAGGACCACCAGACTTCAATATTCAGGCTTGTTTGTTAGTTCAGGCCCTGGGTCTAATGCCTGCCTTTGCATCAGCTACTGGTACAAGGGTTGCACTCTTATGTTGCTTTTTTTGGCATTATTCAAAGATTTAAAGACAGCTTCCTAATTTTTTTTTTTTTTAATAAATAATAAATTTTTAAAATCAGTGTGCAAGACTAGGCTTGAAACTATAAGGCTACTTGTCATGTTAAGAATATGGGAAATTTTTTTGTTGTATTAAGAGAAAGATTTGGCAGAAAATAACTCCCCTTGCATTCCAGCTGGTTCTCAGATATCAGAGGGGCTGGGGGAGGCTGGGGGTAGATTCTGAGCACTAAGCAACAGAGGTGCAGAGCCAACTGGCTCTATAAATCCAGCCACATTCTCTGAGATTACCACGATTACAGATTCACAAATAGTGCCATACTCTGTAGGTCTGGTCATGCCAAATGAACTCTCCCAGCTAGATTAGAAGTCTGGTTGTGTTCAATACCTCTCATGGGCAGGTGCAAAGTAGCTTATTGAGCAACAGAAATGTTGTTTTTTATTGGATTGTCAGTGATAAAGACACTGTCTGCAGAAATACATGCAAATATACAAAATATTAATAACACAGCCAGCAAAAATGCTGTAAATTGTGAGGTGACTCCATAGTGCTAAAGGCATGATCACCACAAGGTTGCTTTCTGAATTTCCCAAGGAAGCATCCAGTACAGGTGACTGCTTGAGTCATAGCCAGTGGATGTCCTTATGAGGGAGGAGATGGGTGCAGCCATAGTTAACCATCCCAGGATACCAAGATGAAATCTCTGACCTCCATTTCCATTGAAACTGCATTTTATATTGTTTTTTTTTTTTAAAGGAGGGGAAAATGTAATATTACAGTTCATGTGATTTCACGTTTAAGTGGAGTTTGAATGACTTTAATCATACATGTAAAGCATGTACAGGTTTTACTTAATTAGCATACCAGAATATGAAAAGTAATATGTGTTTTTGAGTCAACGGTAACAAAGTTCAGCTTTCAGTCACCATTTGGGTTATTTCTTTGGCTTGGTTCCTGTTAGCTGCATTGTTTTAAACAGAGCATGACCACAACACCTCTGTGCCACCCCATCCTTTGTTAAATGTCTCTCAGGGCAGTACATCGAGTTCCCTCAGTGTTCCTGCTCCTAAGGCATGCAGTCTGTTTCTGGTGAACTATAACCAATGCTTACAATCCTTCTTGGTGAACTTTGTTTCTCGGTATTTTCTCCACACTCCTATATGTTGGAGAAATCAGGTTCTGTAATAGTATTCCAAGCAGTTCAGGAATTGAAATATGAATACTTGCATGGAGATCCCTCAGCTGATGTGATTGTCTGTGATACCCTGGGACTAAACAAATCCTTTCTACTGTTGTATTTAGTGAACAGGAAAAGGAACAATGCCTTTAGTTGTGATTAACTGTCATATATAGACACCTTCAATAGAAATTTATTTTATGCAGGAATATACAGTGATTGGTTTTGAAACATCAGTCCAAAACGTTGAAGTTTCATGTAACAGAGCCAAAGCCTGAGAGCTCAGTCAGGTCAGAAGGAATCACCCCTGAACAAGTGAAAAAACCATGGGGGGCCTTGGTTGGCTTGAAGAACGTCCTGACATGCAGGTGTGCAAAGCTCAGAGGGTGGCTGTGCCCAGGCTTGAAGGAAAACCCATGCAGTTCTGCAGTCCCAGACCTTCCCCCTCTGGCCCAGCTGAGGACACTTCCAGGGGGCAGAAGGAGAGGCTCCATGGGTGGGCAGTGAGGGCTGGCATGTGCTGGTATCGGATGCTCAATGCCAGCCCTCACCCTGCCTGGTGAGAGCCTCGAGAGGTCTCTGTGCCCCTGCCAGGCTTAGGGGGATGTTCCTGATTTGGGAACTCTCTGATTTGAACTCTCTGCTTCATCTACATACCGTGCCTTACCCTTCAGCATGAAATCCAAGCAACCTCAGGAGCGAAATGTAAGCATTTCCTAGACCCTGCAGAGGGAAGGGTGGGACTGGGACTGCAATTTCCATCTGTCCTTGCATCAGTACTGTACAAATGAGCACTTGCATGGTGTATTTTTAGACAGGATTGAAAAGTCTCAGAAATTTTGATACCAGATGGAGTCAGTGATTGCCTTCAAATCTAGAGAAATAAATTGGCTTTTCTGGTCTTTGACATTATTTAATTTTTCTTATTTCTAAGGATTTTTTTTGTTTGTTTTTTAAACACACCTAATGTCTTTAATCCTTAGCTCCTTAATCCTTTATTAATAGGATTATTAAACCTGACAAACAGCTCAACCAGAGAAGCCAATCCAATGGTAAAGCAGAATTTGATCTAAGTCTCTGAGAATGTAAGCCCACAGAGTAACTGGCCTGCAGATAATTCAAAATACAACTCTGGGTATATGTTCATCTTGTAGTGTATAAACTGCAATAAATCACACACAAAAGACAGGGATAACATTAAAAATTTTTCAGAAATATGTTTATAGGTGAATTCTAGCTGCTTAAAGAAAGTGACACATTTTCAGAATGAGAAAAGATTATGCCACTACATCTTTGACTTTAGAAAAAGTATTTTTTAAATTAAAAGGTGTTAAATTTGATTCTGTGTATTGGAAGCAATTTAATTATCATTTCAATTATCACTGTTCTTCACTATTCCAGAGTTGGTTTTATAATTTCTAAAATTCCAGTAGTATTTAAAAATATTTTAAAACACATAAAAATTATAATCAGGGAAAAAAATCTTTGAACTATTGCAAAATTCCTGCAAAGATGTGGAAAAAATATAATAGTTCAAGAAGAGATTTTTTTTTTAGTCTTCATAACCTAAACAAGAAAGCTCTTCCTTTTTGATCTCAAGTTAACAAAAAACATAAACATATATGAAAAATATGAGTATAAAATGAGCACATGAACAATAACATAAATATATCTGTATAAATACAAAACTACAAATATATAAATAAAATGTTATGCACTGGAAAAAATCCAAAAGTGAAAATGTTATTTCAAGGAGGATAAAAATCATAGTGATTGGAACATTCAGGGGAACACCCAAATAAAAAAAAAAAAAGCTTAAAAAAGACTAAACATAGTCTCATAAATTATTGTCTTGCTCCTGGGGAAAAATAAGGATATTTAAGATTTATATTTATCAAACTGTTGCAGCATAGACTCAAGGTACTTAGTGCTAGGTTTTTGCTTGAAAAATATCTCCGGTGTATAGAAGAATAAGGGCTTAAATGCAGTTCTAAATTAATTAGGAAAGCCTTGACATGTTTTTTGTTTGAGAAATACCAGTAGTGTAAGCCAGAAGTGAGCAATCAGGGAAATAGCAAAAAGTGACTCAAAGGAGATGCAACATTTATCTCTGATAGGAAAAGAAAGAGGAAAAAGAGATTTTGATGCACAACAGAGAAAGGAGAGCTTTTGAAAAGCTTCCTGAAAAGCAAACTCTTTCATTTCTGTGACTTCATCAGATGCCTGAGACCTTGATACCTTGAGAAGGTGAATGTCCTGATCTCTTTGGTGCTGTCAAGCCCAGGGAATTTGGTGACCTCTACACATCCCTGAATCTCAGGCCACAAATGAAGATAATTAAGGCAGTGCAGACCTATGTGGTGGGAGAAAATAATGAAGGCAGTAATATGTGCTACTGCATCAGGGACAGGTTCCTGCAAAGCAGCTTTGGAGAAGCCAGAGCAAGTTGGTGCCAGTGGTTATTGATTTGGGGAGAGAATATCTCAAGGGCAGGGTTTGTTGTGTGGGAACCACAATGGGATAGAAAACGCAATGTCCAGCCCTGACAAAATAGGCTTAGCTAGAGAGGTCAGCAAATTTTAACAAGCTTTTTGCTACTTGATATGATGTGGTGCTACCTCCTGTAGTTCTTTAATTGTGTCTAATACTAATTTCCCTTTCTAAAATAAATGATGGTCTTACCTGCTCAGCCCTCTCTAGCTGAGCAGGCCATCTGTTACCCCAGGACTGACATCTCAGCCTGTCCACACCTTCCACACTTACACATCCCTGTGGACCCACCTGGACTCACCTGGACCACAGCAAGTCACACAAGACTCATGTGAGAACTTCCAGAGAAGTGGTAATTGTCTAGCAGACCTTGATTACTTGGAACTCCTTCTCCTTAAGGTTAAATTCAATCTGGCCAGTTGAAGACAGAACCAGTGTAAAACAGCCTTCACAATCTCTCAGTATTTTGCACATACATGTTTTTGAAAGCTAGTTATTG